TCGCTTTGCTCAGGGTTAGTTCTATCAAATCCTACGTACAGCCCTTTTGGAATGACTCCTTAATTACTGATACAGAGCTGGAATACTTAATGCAGCTGGGGAGAAGTATTTCTCAGTAAGTAAGGTGACATTTTTGCTGGAGTCCTTCCGGACTAGAAATTTCCTGTCACACTAGACCTTTCCTTTCTGTTTTTTATTACTGACTGGACAATTCTACAGGAGAAAATAACCCAGTTTTCAGACCGTTATTCCTCTCTTACTGCTTGGCTGCATTACGGTTTTATCCTGTGGAATACCATGTAAACAACGAGTAATTCTCTTCGTTTTAACACCTCTCTTGAAGAGTATTTCAAAATGACCTGCCCTCTGCTATTTCCATTAAGAAAATTTGGTATTTTAGGTATTCGCCAAGATCAGAAATCTTCTGAGGCAGATGATGTTTATCTTGGGTTTGGATATCTCTGTAGAAAAGGAAGCAGGCAGTAAAGGGATGGAAGAATGAAGCAGAGCAAAAGTGGCAATTTGCAAATGGATGGTCAATTTGTTCCCTGCAGATTTGGGCTCCTTGAATACTGGGGATTTGTAATGGGCAGTCCAAAGATTCTTTTCCTTCTAACAAGGAATGCCAATGTTTATGTGTCAGCACCTCCGTGTTGAGGTGACCAACTAAAGGCAACCCAGAACTAAGTGGGAGTTAGAGATAGAAAGGCCATGAAAACTAGCATTGGAAAGCAACTCCTTCCTAGTTGTAATTGTCAAATTCAGGAGACCACTGTGGGTTGCCAATTGCTTGGTAGGAAAGGGATCCCAAAGTAGTGGATGGGTAATGAGCAACACATAAGCAAATAAGTAGAAGCTCTCTCTCCTGGCTTGCCAGCTCCAGACTGTTCAGAGGAATTAGAGTGGTGGTAGTTTCATGAAAAATAAAAACAAAGCGATTTTCTGAATAATTCGAAACCCCCTTGGATTCCTCACCCATTAGATGGGTTGATTGTAAAGGTTTGAGTTCAGCTAATTCACTTGTTCCCTTATGAGCATGGCTCAGCCTCACACAGAGATAAGGTGGGAGCTGGGCCGCTCTCAGGCAGGAGGAAGGGTCTTGTGCCAGCCTGGAGAGCCTGTGCACATTGCCAGTGTGATAAATGTGATTCGTGCTAATTAAGTTGTAACTATATTAACAAAATTGTATTTAGATCAATAGAAGACAATTGTTACAGAGTGAGGGGGGGAGATGGGTGAGACAGGATAAAAGACATCTTCCAGATGTTGGGAGTCAAAGAAGGAGGTTGGAAGAAAGTCAGATAAGAATAGAAGAAGGACGTAGGTCTGATAAGCAGC